TGTAGATTGTCATTCATTAATGAATCTCCTATAGTGGCTTGTAAGTGCCTGCATTCATCACAAGCTCCTTATGTATTTTGCTGCGCTCTTTAGTGCATGCTTCTGAATGACATGTTGCTTGTTCACAAGGGATCATTCATCCTTGCAATATATCTACTATTGTGGTATGTAGGTGAGGTATGTAGGTGAACTACATTCGTCATAGTCCTTTTGCATAGTTATTGTAGGTAGTTGGTATATGATGAGTCTTCTACAACTTCTTGTAGGTTCTTTCCTTTGTTGCATATCATATGTCTTTACTTGTAGTGGATTAATGTATTTACCTACCATTGACTGATTATTGATTGCAAGGGTGTTGTAGCATATATTATTTTTTGTTGATTATCATTGATGTGCATACGAGAAAATTTTTCATCTTTTACGGTAAGCATTTGCATTCTCCACGATCTTTTATTTCATGCCTATAGAAGATCCACCATACTTGCAACACATTCACTATCATTGCTTGTCGATAGGCTCATTATATGTATCACAATCTTTCTACTATTATGAGTGGAGAAGTTGTGCTGAAAATAGATCTTCTAGTGCTACTCGTAGGCACTCACATTTACCGCCATTCTTCCTGCATTTGCTTGTAGACCATATAACGACTAATAGGGGCTTGCACTTATGATAGTCCTTCCACAACTTATCTTCTATCATTACTTGCATGTAAATTTATGTATATATTTGTAAGCCTATGTTGATTGCTGGGTAAGTCCCATACACTATAGATTTCCCCACATACATTCGTTGGTAACTTACTATGCTTATCGTATGCTGGCTTTTAGTATTCATGGTTAACTACTGCACTTATCTATGAACTGACTACCATTGGTCTGAGGGCCATTATAATATCTGTTGCATATTTCTGATAAGCTCTACAAACTTTCCCTTCTATCTGTAGACTTGATGTTGTATGCATGGCCGATCTCCTACAACAATTCATAGGACCTTACATGTATTACAAGCGTGTTGTCCTCTGCTTGTAGGTAGTGTATTCATTTGTTTGCAAGTTGAGATCAACCGCATGGAGATTATTGCATTCATTGCAAATCTTCAGTTGTCACTTACAAGTAATCTATTGTATACACCATAAGCCTTTTGTTATGTCGGTAGATGATTTGTCATTGAAATTATCATCGCTTTATGCTAGCATTTACATATTAACTGGTATACTTGCAATATTCATTAAAAGTTTACATTGTTACTTATGAACAAGTCAATATCTCTTTTGTTCATTCACTTATAAACAAATCATGTTCATTAAAATTTCAGCATAAGTCATTTGCTTGTTTATTTGAATGATAGAGATTATGAGTTAGCATTTGAATTTAAATTTAATATTATGTATCTTTCAATTTATTGTATGGTTTCATGTTGTCCATTTAAGTCCACTTTGGTTCATTCAAGTTCAAATCCCTTGCTATTTATTGTTAATGGGGTTTGGTGCCTCCCGGATTTCATTCCTGAAGGTGTCAGGAATGTCATTAGTGGTATCACTATTCTGGAGCAACCGGATATTCTCCTAGATGGCTCCAACTCCCCATCTCTTCAGAACTTTATTGTCACGACCCAACCCGACCGGGACGGATCCCGCTCGCATCGGGTCGTGATCCAGATTCAGACTGACTGAACTGATTCTAGGATCTGGCTTTGGAATTTATTTCAAAACTTTCTTCCAAACATACAGACAGAAATAGACGCACACACAGAGCTACTATAAACATCAAATGCAGCGGAACAGATCATCTATCTTTTTCTTTTTTTTCTTCCTCAAAAGAATCATATACAAATACAGCTCATGACTTTTAGACAGAAGGAAAAGCAGAACATAAAAGCCATGACTGTACAAAAATCAAAAGTACAAAATACATACGGATCAGACTCTGAACTCCTACTCCAAGACTTCCTTCCCTTTCCCAGAACCTGAAAACCACGCAAAAAATAAGGATGAGCTACAACAGCTCAACAAGACATCAAACCTCCAATCAGAATCCTTAGAATCCACATCAAACATATCAGGCAAAATCCATACATAAATCAGATAAACAGAATCGTCTATCAAATCAGAACAGAATAGAAATCACAGAAATCATAATTCCAGAAATTGAATCAGAACAGAATCATACGGATCAGATCAAATCAGAACAGAACAGAATCATACATATCAGATCAAATCAGAACAGAACAGAATCATATCAGAATCAGATCAAATCATATCAAAATCGTATCAGAACATATCAATTCAGAACATATCAAATCAGAACAGATCAAATCAGAACAAATATTTCAGAACAGATCTTCCTTCCAGATTTCAGAACTTCCCCTTATATCTCCCTTGTGCATACAGCACCAGAACTTCCCCTTATAGCTCCATTGTGCATACAGCACCAGAACTTCCCCTTATAGCTCCCAATTGTGCTCATAGCACAAGAACAGAACAGATATACAGAATTTTAGAACTTCACAGAACTTCCCCTTATAGCTCCCTTGTGCTTACAGCACCTTCCCCTTATGGCTCCCAATAGCATATGAATAATTAATTCAATTCAGAACAAATCCGAAGAAATTCAGAAATTGTACGAAAATCCGGCGGCATAACGGCAGTATACGGAATTTACACAAAATTCATAGATTCAAAAATTTACCAAATAACCACAGAGCATTCACAACAACATCATAAGACTTTCATTCTACTGCCCAGACAATTTCAGACATCATCAGAAATTACAGTCAAAAGAAAGTAGAGGTAGACCTAAAAAGACTTGGTTAGAAAATATTAGAAATGATCTTTCTTTATTAGATTTAGATGAGAATTTGACTTTTAACCGGACACAATGGCAAAAAATGATTCGTGTAGCCGACCCCACGTAGTGGGACAAAGGCTTGATGTTGTTGTTGTATTATAATATTTCAATATAATAAGTATTTATTACATCATCCGGTTTGACCCCGGTCGAACAATTGAACTACTAACCTCTCATTCCGATTCATTGTTCGGTCTAGTTTTCAAAGCCTTGGTTACAAGCATGTTCTTTTATTTTGATCCTCTTAATATGGTTGCCTGGTGAGTTGTTGGTCATATTTTGAAGTATCCTTGTGATATGATGGAAGCTTGCAGAGCATTGACGTTCTGGTGGATGGGAGATTTGATGGCTTTGCTTGCATAATAGATCTTCTTGGCATGAAATTAATTTGGTCCTTCAATTCAAATTTCTCAAGCCTTTGTTCCATTACCCTCTCCCATATTTTCATTGTATGATTCTTTTATAGTTAGCATAATTTTGAACATCATCATAGTTCTTATATCATGCCAAGAAGATCTATAACTAATATGATATGAAGCAAATAATAAAAATACCAATATACTCTTGAGCATCTTGATGACCATGAAAGGAGACCTATAGCCAATTCCTAGACAACGAGTTGGTAAAGCAACTTAATACATAAATCACACAATTATGATATGTCTATATGGATGAAAAATATCTTTAACGAATACCAACTCCAATGGATTAATGGTCAATGCACGGAATCTAATGAGTGTGAATTTTCAAATTTTTTCTTCATCTAATTCTTCAAGGGCTAGGTATGAAATGTAGCTATAAGATATGATTTCAGTTACTTTCTAAATGTGTAATATACATTATAAATAGTTTCTTTACATATGGAGAAGATTCAATTTAGCTTAATTATAGTGTTCATCAAATTTTAAGCCTTACTATTCATGTATGGCCAATTTAATCCAAGGGTATCACGTTGCCCCAATTTTATACATCGACCATATAAAATTGAGCAAACATAGTCGCTCATGTTGTAATTGTAATATAAAATTGATCCCAATTTAGTCCAATTTTATAAAATTACTCACAATTTAGTTCCAAAGGGATCATTTTGGATCAGTTTTGTATAGCCGAGGGACTAAATTGGAGTAATGTTATACTCTGAGACTAAAATGACTATACGAATAATCGAGGGACTATTTTGAAATTTAACCTGATTAATAAACTTAACCTTTACCATGAAGCTTATCTAAAAGACTTGGACTAAGTAATGGGCGGGCCTTGGAATCTTTTTTTTGCATCACTGAAGAACTATCCTCTTGAAACTCATCTTTAGGTTGCAACAACTCCAAGCTTGCTTAACCACTATTTAATAATCTTCATGATTGCTACACACTCGATGAATCCGTCAAATACTTAGCAAATAATTAGATGACATCAAACAATATTTGCTTCAAATCACCGATGAGCTAATCATGGGCATATGATAGAAACTTAGGGTATGGAGTCAACACTTTCTTCCTGCTGGCTTAGTTATTTGTTTATATTCATGTTAGATGGCTCTTTATCTTTATTATGCTGTGAATGTGGTGTGTGTGTCTTGCTTATTTCTATAAGTAAACCAGATGAGCTGTTTGTTCACCCCTCTTAGTGAAGGATGGTTTTTTATTGAGCTTAAGTTGCTAGTGGTTTTCTGTATCCTTTTAATCCCCGGATTGTGAGAAGATAAAAATGAATCCTAAATTTCAAAGCAAAAGCTCTATCTGGCCTATTTACTTATAACAACTTTTGTTCTTTTATCATATGATAAATAAAGGAAAGTACCTGTAGAAATTGTAAGATGCTGCTGCTGTAGGTTTGCTTTTAATTTATTAATTGTGTGATCTTTTGTTTTAATCAGGCTGTGTTTTTTTTTTCTCCTTTCTGATTGATTTGTTCATGAATAGATTTTTTTTTTGTTTGGGGCAGCTTACGAATTTTTGTTTTTGCTGTTAAAAGCTACTTTTTCTACGGCTTTTTCTGTTATGGTTTTCCAACAGCAGCCTTTCTAAAAAGAATATTTTGAAAAAGCAGTAAAAAAAGCTGTCATCCATACCACAAATTTTTTTTTTTTGGTTTCTTATCCTGCCCAAAAAAAAAAAAAGAAGTTATCTCAAGCGAGTCTGTATGTATATTGCAGGTCTTCTACTAAAGCTTGAGAAACGAATTGCTGAAATCCCAATTGATTCCAAAGAACTTGGCTTTACTCGACCTGGACACTATATCTATGAGTTCCTCTCTGATTTGAATATCACAAATGAGACAGCAAATATGCTAATTGATACAATTGAAAATGCTTCATTGCTTCTTGAGGAAGGTAACTTTAATTCATTTTATTTCTCACCTTCATCTTTTTCTGTCTTTTTATTTCTGTTAAGGGTTATTTGGGATGATTGTAGTTGCTTGTAAAAAAATGTTGAATTGTTGTGAGAAAAGATATATTTTGAAAGCTGTTATAGGTATTATTAATATTTTTCTTTTAAAAAAGCACTGCAATAATTTTTTTTTTCAGCTACCATTCTCTATGATATCTAGTTATAAAAGGCCATTTCTCACTATATAAATAATAATAAAAAAAGCTGTAACAAAAAAGAACTGTGTTAGTTATTTGCAAAACAAAGCTATGACAGGCTTTCCCAAATACCTTCCAGTTTCATAGCAGCTGCTCCTTATAGTAGCTCTCCTGATTTCTCAAAAGCTTCATGCATATCCCTTCTGGTGGTAACTCTTGTAAACTTTTGGATTTTGACATTTACTAGGCATCACATCTCAGGAAGGAGTGCAAAGACAATCTAACACAGCTTGCAGATTAGAGAGCATCGGAAACATTCTTAAAATTGTATTCAGGGATGGTGGTAAAAGTCATGCACGCTTTTATAGTGTAAGTTAAGTTTTTCCGGGAACAAGCATACGTAGTAAACTTCGATACATTAATTGATTCTCAGGTGGATGAGCAAAATGAGTTTGATGCAATTTCGTTTTGTTATTTCTTCAATCTTATGTAAATGTTTCTCCTGATAAGGTTATATTTTCTTTCCCTTTGTTTTTAAGTTCCATGTGCAGGAGTCCCAATCAATTACTTCAGATTCCCTGAAAGGTACTGGTTTTACTTCCAATCTCTTAATTTAAATGCATTTAAAATTTTTCATCGTCAATTGTTGATATTGGAGTTGCTCTGCATGTTTTAATTTACACACTTTTCTAAAAGGTGATGACTATTTCTAATGGAATTTTGAATATGAATATGATGCCAAAGAATTGGAGGAGAAGTATTTTTGTACAAATATTGAAGAACAAAATATATATTCAATACACTGAACATATAGTAATCAAACTTTGAGTTATACATTGAAGTTATTAGAGAAAATAATGGAACCTAGAGTTATAAAATTTACGTCTTTTTATGCTTGAAAGATTTTTATAGTTACGATCATTAATGAAAAAATATAGAGAGCATAGAAATGATCTTCATATAATTTTTAATAAACTTAGTTAGGCATATGGTTCAGTTTAATGAGAATTAATTTGGTGCATATTAATAAAAATTTGTGCTAAAGGTCTGCTAAAGTTATTTTGTATACGTATGATTTAGAACTGGTTAGTATTAGAAACAGTTATTGAATGACCAAACTAATGTCATTTATTTTAGGATTACACAAAATATTAACATTGTGAACATATCTTTTTGTATTGGTTATAAACTTGTTTAAAAAAATATTCAAAGTGAGACTGTTAACAAAAAAATGCCAATATCTTGATATTAGTTCAAGTTGCCTATTTAAATCAATTTAAGGTTGTCTTCGATGACCATCTGATGCTATCAAGAATTTATGTACTTTTTATTTTATTTGAACAACAGTATATTTTGTTTTCTATTTTATTTTCTTTTGTTGATATTTGTGAGCATATTTGCTATTAACCTGCGGGTTTATTCGGAAATCCTGCGGGCTCTTTCCAACCTTCTTTTCTTATCCCCTCCGGAAATCCTGCGAGCTCTTTCCACCCTTTCTTCTCGGGCTTCTAATCTCTTCGTCTCTCCGCAAGTGCCACTCCATCTGTATCCTTCTTCTCAACAGTGAAGCAACTTTAGGGTGTCGTGTCTTGGTTGATTTGGAAGCATTTGGGACAGTCTTGCAGTGGTAGACCATCGGTTTGCTAGTTCTATGTACTTTACTTATTTATCCTACAAAGTCGATGCATGTGAGGAACCCGCTCTGACGGTTGTCTGAGGATAGCGTTTTTTTTTATTTCTTTAAAATCTCCTAGTATCTTTTGTTGTGTTTGTCAAGTTTTGGGTCGTTTGCGTTTATTTAATTAAATTTGTTTTAAGTTCTACTCATTGTGTCAGTTTTCTTCTTGTGTGTCTTTTGTGATCAAGAGATATAAGTTCCCTATATCCCTTGTCTATATCACCATCATTCATGGAAACTTGAACAATTCAATCCCTTGCTTGGACCTATAATTTCTCTAAAAATGTTCCAAGCATTACATGTCAGTAACTTCAATTTCTATTTCAATCATTTTTTATCATTCTGTAGGATTCTTTCTTAGTTTAGTTTAGCCAAAAACTCCAATTTCAATCTTAACCTAGGTTACACGATCTCATTAGACTTAGAAGTGGTCATAGGAGGAAATTATCACTCAATTTGGTTTTGGCCTTAGCCTCCCCTAGGGTAGACCTCTTCTTGCGCTTTACCCTAATTATTCCCAATGAACATAGTTAGTGGTGTAAGCCTTTAATATCTTCCTTTTTGATTTATTAATTTGTTTGTACAATGTAATCAACCATGTGGTTTCTCGAGTTTGATATTTGGGGTCTAGTTTGACCAATGGTCAAACTAACCCCAACCCTTTGAACCCTTAGTGCGTTTGGTGATTTCCAATCAATTGCTCTAACAACTTACCAAACCTGATCCATAGAATTTAGTTCATCAGCCATAGATTATTTGGCCATGCTTTAGTAAAAAAAAGAAAAAAGAGAGGAAAACCATAGATTTTTTGGCCATCGTTGACTCTTAGAGTTGGCTAGATCTTTTTTGAACCCTAGCATGACCCAATAAAATCCTATTAGGCCAATATCAACCTATGTCGTATAACGGTAAGAATTGCTTATAGGAAACCAATTGAATAGAGCCTAAAAGGTGGATGGTAACCTAATAAAGGCAAATTGACCTTTGGTGAAGTTCTATTGGACCTTTGACCCAATTAAACTTAAATTGACGTTTTTGACCATATAGGATCAATTCAATCAAATTGATCAAATTAATTGAGCTAATTTCCTTACAAGTGCTTTAATAAATCAACCATAAATGCATTGGTGACAGTTGGCCCTTTAATAGGCCTATTAGCTTAGTCACATTTAACCATATTTGCTTCTTAAGGTTTATTAGATCAATTTGATACATTTGACTAGCTTGAGCCCAATTATTATTTGAAAATCATTTCAAATTAATTAATCATATATGCATTGATCTCATTTGACCTTTGACCAAGTCTAATTTGGCTAATTTTCCCATTTGCCCCAAAATTGACCAAGATGGACCATATTAACTTAATTGGCCAGTTTGACAAGTTTTCCATCCCAGTGATAGATGAGCTATTGGATGAGCCGAGTTGGGCAGTTATATTCACCAAAATAGACCTGAAGTCAGAGTACCATCAGATCTGACTGAAGGAGGACGTGCCAAAGCCTGCTTTTATAACGCATGAGGGACACTGAGTTCTTGATGTTAGGGTACTTGACAGAAAAGTTTCCCATCCCAGTGATAGATGAGTTATTGGATGAGTTGAGTGGGTCAGTTTTTTCACCAAGATAGATTTGAAGTCAGGGCACCATCAAATCTGAATGAAAAAGGACGTGCCAAAGACTGCTTTCAGAACGCATGAGGGATACTATAAGTTCCTGATGATGTTGTTTGGCCTCACTAATGCCCAACCACTTTCCATTCCCTCATGAACAGGGTATTCCAACCCTACCTTAGGAGTTTTGTGTTGGTTTTCCTTGATGTCATTTTGGTGTACAACAGGTCAGAGGAGGAACACTTGGAGCATTTAAAGGCGGTCTTAGAGCTGTTACAGGAGTAGCAGCCGAGGGCCAATTTGAAGAAATGCTGCTTTGCACAGGCCAGTGTGGAGTTCTTATGACATGTAATATATGTGGAGGGTGTGGCTGCTGATCAGAAGAAGATTGAGGCTATGTTGAGATGGCCACTTCCCAAGAATTTCAGGGAGCTGAGGGGATTTCTAATATTGACAAGCTACTACAAAAGGTTAATGAGGGGCTATAGCACCATCGCCTGGCCATTGACGAAACAATTGAAGAAGGATAGATTCTTGTGGGGGTAGGCGATCACAATAGCTTTTGAGAGGTTGAAGAAGGCCATGACCACCGTATTGGTCTTGGCCCTACCAGATTTCACTCAGATTTTTATAGTAGAGACGGATGCCTTAGGGTTTGGATTGAGTGCAGTACTCATGTAGAACCACTGACCCATCGCTTATTTCAACAAGGTGTTGATAGCTAGAGCTGGGCTGAAGTTAATCTCAATGGGCTAAAATGGACAATTCAAGATCAACTCAATTTACATCATGTGGTTAAATTAGATGAAGCTTATCGAATGTCTTTGAAAATTGAAAAACAACATTTGAGGGGAAGCAGTAAAATCACTGAAACATATAAACGAAGGCAAACAAGTGGGTCTAAAACTCAAACTTCTGTGGGGACTTCGAGTGCAAAAGTTAAAACTGTTGAAAGTCAAAATCAAGAAAAAGGAAAAGTGGTAGCAGGAAATAAACCGTCTGAACAATCTAGGCAAATTGGACCTTGTTACAAATGTGGGTTATATGGTCACTTGTCAGCTACTTGCAGAAAGAATAATCCTCCACGAACTAATTTCATAGAAGGTGAAAATGAGATAGAAGAAGAGGAGGAGAATGAAACAGAATCTGAAAATGAAGCTGAGTTAGAAAAATTTGACTTAGAAGGTGATGAAGGAGAACCATTGTTAGTAATTCGACAAGTCTTAACTGCTCAAACTGAAAAGGAAGATAAATGGCTTAGGAGGAACATTTTTAGAACTACCTGTACTGTTGAAGGAAAAGTTTGCACTTTAATGATTGATAGTGGAAGTTCAGGAAACTTTGTATCACAACATATGGTGAAGAAATTAAAGCTGAAAACGAAACCTCTTGATAAGTCGTATAAGATCTCTTGGTTTAAAGAGGGAAGTGAGGTTCCTATAAATAAACAATGCACTGTGAACTTAACGATTGGAGGAACTTATAAAGATCAAATTGTTTATGATGTTGTGCCTTTGGAAGTATGTCACATCCTTTTAGGTCGTCCTTGGCAGTATGATCATAAAACCATCCACATGGGAGCCTTAACAAGAGGGTGAGACATCAATTCCCATCTTTCCACATTAAGGATAAAGTGATTCTTTGGAAGCGGGGTATTGATATAAACAGACTGGTCCCTCTTGGACCGGCCCAACCTTGGGTCGGCCCACTTATTACTTGCCGCCAGCCTCAAATCCCCTCTATTTGGGTGGGTCCACTTCCTAAATGATTATAAAGAAGGGTTGTTTAGTCCTTTTGCATTATTTTGTTATTTTCTTTAAGTAGAAGTTTGTATTAGGGTTAGGGCATCTTTTTGGTGGCTGATATCTATTTTGGTGTTTGGCATTCTTGGGCTCTAGCAACCTCTAGAGAATTGGGATAGATAGATCCTCTTGAATATGGGATCAATTGTATCTTTGCATTTTTCCTATTCCTTTCATCCAATAATACAAAAACATCTACTGTTTTCTAGTTATTCTTGGAATTTGGTGGCGTTTCCTCTTTGATTCTCCAAGATTGATACATAATGCTTGAAATCTACAAACGTTTCCTATCATATAGCATGCTCACATTCCCGCAGAGAAGGCAACTCCTGAATTTTCTGAAACACCCCTCTCGATATTGTTATAGGGATGGCTGAACCATATCTGGCGCTTCTATCTTCTCCCCTTAATTTTCTCCTTTCAAACTTTACACCACAAAAAATCACTCTTTCACCCTTTCCCCTCCTTGGAAGTGGCTCCAAATTTGGCATCTCCTCTTCATCCCGCA